AACAGCATCATCAACAATCATTATCATCATCAACAACGACAACAACATCCCCATCATCAACAACAGCAACAACATCTTCATCATCAACATCATCATCAACAACAACAGTATTTATACTACCGCAATGATAAAAACTATGGCTCACATGACAAGATTATTAAGAACAACATCAGTAAAAACATCAACTTCAACAACATCAACAACCCCATTAAAAACAACAGCAACAATAAAATTAATGATAACACTATTCACAACAACAACAACAAACCGACGAACAATAAAAGCGACGAAAAAACATACATCGATCAAATTCAATCCAAAAATAATAATTTCTACTACAACTTTTATCATTTGTATCGGCAACAACAACAACAGCAACAACAACATCAGCAGCAACAACAACATCAGCAGCAGCAACAACAGCAACATCACCACCGACAATATGAAACAATGAAGCGAAAAATGCAAGATGAAACATTATTTGACAACTACCTAGATGAATGCAAAGACAAACAACAACATCGGCTACATCAGCTGCTACAACAGCAGCAGCAGCAGACTAAACGACAACTCATCGAAAACGAAATCACAGATAAACCCAGCAATAACAACCCTGATATTCACTACTCCCAACCAATCAGAGATCAGCCCAAACTCACTCTCTTTAACTCCACTTCTCATCTCTTCCAACTACTACCAAAACACCTTCTCTCTCACTTTTACTCCCTATCTCCTACTCTTCTTTTTCCTCGTGTTCTCACAAATACTACCGACAGCTACGGTACGGAGAATTCCAAAAAATACCCCCAAGCTATCTCCACATTCACATTATACAATCAACTAAACAGATTAACAAAAGTTGACGATGGGCCGAAAGAATCGGAGCAAACGAATATCGATTCGATACGATGTAACGCCGGAATCGATTCGATACGATGTAACGCCAATATCGATTCGATACCATGTAATTTCGGTATCGATTCGATACGATGTAACGCCGATATCGATTCGATACGATGTAACGCCGATACCGATTCGAAAAGATGTAACAATTGTATCGAGTCAGAAAGATGTAACAGTTTTAACGGTATCAGTTTGGTTAAATATAACGAGTTCATCGTTCCGAAAGATGTCTCCTTTGAAGAACCATTTAAAGATAAATTTGAGAAAACCGTTTTAATTAAAACTGAAGCTGGCGATTTGATCTAATTGGGGACAGTTATAAATATAAATATAATAAATATATATTTATTTAATTTGTTTAATTTCCTTTTTCTTAATGTTAAAATGTAATATTAAAACCTTTCACCATAATAATAATAATAATAATTATCATTATTATTATTATCATTTTTG